CCATGGACTGGCCCCAAAGATTCTCGGACATGGGAATCTGTAGGTAGTGGAAGTAAGAGGATTTGCCCTTCTCCGAAGCTGAGTCCTTAGTCCTATCGCGTCTATAGTACTTGGAATGCCCTTGCTGGTGGTGCCGCAGCGCAGCGGCTGGAGGCCCACAAGGCTGAGAGCCATGGGGATAGGGCAGTAGTGGATGTGGCCCAGCATGGACCTGAGACCCAACACCTCTTCTCCTCAAAACATGGCTGGGAATGATCTGTGCATGCAGAGGCTGCCACACGACTGCCACACGACTGCCGCACGTTCGTCCAGGGTTCAGTGAAGGCTTACGTTGGTTCGCCTGATGGTCATGATTCTCAGAGCAGGCATTTCCCTTCACAGAAATCTCCCAAAGCCATACTATGAAGAAAGTGAGTTAATATGAGAAAAAACTAGTTTGAAAAAGAAGTCACCTGGCTGGCGCTGCAGCTCACTTGTCTAATCCTCCGCCTGTGGCGCCGGCACCCCGGGTTCTAGTCCCGGTTGGGGTGCCAGATTCTGTCCCAGTTGCTCCTCTTCCAGTCCAGCTCTCTACTGTGGCCCGGGAAGGCAGTGGAGGATGGCCCAAGTACTTGGGCCCTGCACCCGCAAGGGAGACCAAGAGAGGGAGGGAGGGAGGGAGGGAGGGGGTGAGAGAGAGAGAGAGAGAGAGAGAGAGAGATATCTTCCATCTGCTGGTTTACTTCCAAAATGGCTTCAAAGGCTGAGGCTGAGCCAAGCAGAAACCAGGAGCCTGGAACTCCATCCAGGTCTCCCACGTGGGTGGCAGGGGTGCAAGTACTTGCGCCACCTTCTGCTCTTTCCCAGGCACATTACTAAGGAGCTGGATCCAAAGTGGAGTAGATGGGACTTGAACTGGTGCCCACATGGGATGCTGGCTTCACACATGACAGCACCGGGGCCAACAATCATTCTCTTTCTTATACTTCTTCATAAATAAATATGTAAGAGTAAAAATATGGGACCCTATTAATACAGTGAAAAAAATAACATGTTCAGGGTAATTGGGAAGGACACCAGCATCACCAGCAATAACAAACAGGTGGCTTTCAGTACCCACCTATGATGCTGTATTTTGATGAAACAGCTATTATGCACTGAATGAGTATTTTGTTCTTCTAAGTGAGGATAAACATCAGAACAACTGAGGGACTGGGAAGTGGGTTTTCTAGGTATGAAGAATTCTGCTGGATGGCTTTTAAAAGTGTTTCCTTCAGAGTCATCTGCCTCATTAATAACGGTTTTTGACTTCATTTTATAAACTGACATAATATCTTGCTTTGCTGTGAATGCACACAGCTCTCGTCCTCCAATAAGCCTGTCACACTTCTACTATGTTGCCTACAGGCCTGGTTTCTGCAGCATCACCATCACCTTCAGCATTAGTACTACCACATTCAGGACCAATTAGGCTATTTCATCATTGGCTAATAATGAACAATGCAGCCTCATTATCAGTGCTAAAAACTTTTGATATTCACTTCTTTTAACTTACTGATGGACTAGGAAGATACTCCCTTTGAAAACCTGCCAGATCCACACCTCTGTTCACTGTTTCTAGTATGCTGTTCAAAACAGTGCTAATATATATTTAAATTTTGCAGGAATCATCACTATTTTTTTTTTTTGACAGGCAGAGTGGACAGTGAGAGAGAGAGAGAGACAGAGAGAAAGGTCTTCCTTTGCCGTTGGTTCACCCTCCAATGGCTGGCCTGAAAGAGGGGCGCCGGATTCTGTCCCGACTGGGACCAGAACCCGGTGTGCCAGCGCCGCAAGGCGGAGGATTAGCCTAGTGAGCCACGGCACCGGCCCTTCCATCACTATTTTTAAAATTTTAATTTGAAAGATGCATGGTGGTGGTGGGGGGGGAGAAAGATCGAGAGAGAGAGAGAGAGAGAGGGAATCGATCAAGAGATCTCCCATCCATTAGTTCACTCCACAAAAGACTACAATAGCTAGGGCTGGGCTAGGCCAAAGCTAGGAGCTTGGAACCCAATCTGTGCTTCCCACATGGGTGCCAGGGATGCAACTACTTGAATCATCACCTGGCGTCTCCCAGGGTGTGCGTTAGGAGGAAGCTGGAATTGGAGGCAGAGTCAGGACTCCAACCCAGGCACTCCTAAATGGGATGCGGGTACCCAAAAGCATCTTAACACTGTGTCAAACATCTGCCCCTAAACATTAGTTTTTATGAGAATTTCAGCTGGAGGATGAGCAGAACAGTTTTCAAGGAATAACGAAGTCTTGCAGTCATCATCTAGTTCAGCTTCCTTGCAATGAACATAAGATGTTGGTACGAAGTGCTTATGAAACCAATCAGAAAAGACATTCCTGATGGTCCATGCCTATCTAAAACCACAATAATGCATTGGTAAGAAATTCATTCTTTCAAAAGTGTGAGGAAGCAAGCTTCTGCCTATCACAGCAAGTTTACAGCTGTGCCTGCTGCATTAGCACATCCCAGTTATGCAGTCCTTTGCATCCTGAATTCCTGCAGAGGCTGTTTCATCAGCTGTAGTCAGAGCTTTTCTGGGGCAATAACACAAAAAAAGTGTTTCATCAGCATTACAGACTTGTCCTGGTGTCAGATTTTCATCAATGACGACTTTAGCAAACTGGTTAATGACTCTTTCTCTTGCTTCTTTATCAGCAGATACTTTATCACCAACAGAAAATGAATGCCTTTTCTTTTCTTTTTTTTTTTTTTTTTTAAGATGTATTTATTTGAAAGTCAGAGTTACACAGAGAGAGGAGAGGCAGAGAGAGAGAGAGAGGAGAGAGAGAGAGAGAGAGAGAGAGAGAGAGAGAGAGTCTTCCATCTGATGGTTCACTCCCCAATTGGCCACAACAGCTGGAGCTGCGCTGATCCGAAGGCAGGAGCCAGGAGCTTCTTCTGGGTCTCCCACACGGGTGCAGGGGCCCAAGGACTTGGTCCATCTTCTACTACTTTCCTAGGCTATAGCAGAGAGCTGGATCGGATGCGGAGCAGCCAGGACTCGAACCGGTGCACATATGGGAAGCCAGTGCTTCAGGTCAGGGCATTAACCCACTGTGCCACAGCGCCAGCCCTGAATGCCTTGTCTTTTCTTAAATTTCTGCATCCAGCCTGTTGAACATGCACAGCTCCCTTTGGTTTTTCAGTATAGTGTGACAGACCTTTGCCTGTTACATGCTCAGCATACTGTACAAGTGGCAGGTGTTTACTGCAACAATGACAGATCCACTTTCTCAACAACGATCAACATCTTACTTTTTAACTTTGTGCAGTGTTTTTCTTCTTCTTTTAAAAAAGATTTATTTATTTGAAAGGCAGAGCTACAGAGAAACTGAGGCAGAGAGGGAGAGAGAGGTCTTCCATCCGTTGGTTCACTTCCCAAATGGTAGTAATGGCCAAAGCTGGTCCGGTCCAAAGCAAGGAGCTTCTTCCAGGTCTCCCGTGTGGGTACAGGACTTGGGCCATCTTCCACTACTTTCCCAGGCCATAGCAGAGAGCTGGATCAGATGTGGAACAGCCGAGACTCGAACTGGTGCCCATATGGGATGCTGGCACTGCAGGTGGAAGCTTTACCCACTACATCACAGTGCTGGCTCCTGTGCAGTGTTCTTCTATTTTTCATTAATTTCATATCATCACTTTCAGCACTGAACGTCAATAGTTTCTCCTGTTTCTTTTGGTCATATGTGGGGGTCATTTCAATAACACACTCTTCTAAAAGATGTTTCACTGGAGGAGCCGGCGCTGTGGCTCACTTGGTTAATCCTCCGCCTGTGGTGCTGGCATACCATATGGGCGCAGGTTCTAGTCCTAGTTGCTCCTCTTTCAGTCCAGCTCTCTGCTGTGGCCTGGGAAGGCAGTGGAGGATGGCCCAAGTGCTTGGGCCCCTGTACCTACATAGGAGACTGGGAGGAGGCTCTTGGCTTCGGATCGGCGTAGCTCTGGCTGCAGCAGTCATTTGGAGGGTGAACCAATGGAAGGCCTTTCTCTCTGTCTCTCTCTCACTGTCTAACTCTGTCAAATAAAATAAGAAAAAAGATTTATTAAAAAACAAAACAAAACAAAAAAAGATGTTTCACTTGATGGGGCCAGTGCTGTGGCACAGCAGGTAAAGTCACCGCCTGCAGTACCAGCATCCCACATGGGCATCGGTTCGAGTTCCGGATGCTCTACTTCTGATTCAGATCTCTGCTATGGCCTGGGAAAGCAGTAGCAGATGGTCCAAGTCCTTAGGCCCTTGCACCCACGTGGAAGACCCAGAAGAAGCTCCTGGCTCCTGGCTTTCAACCAACCCAGCTTTGGCCACTGTTGCCATTTGGGGAATGAACCAGTGGATGGAAGACACCTCTCTCTCTCTCTCTCTCTCTGTGTGTGTGTGTGTGTGCTTGCACGCGCGCTTCAGCCTCTCTGTAGCTCTGACTTTCAAATAAATAAATAAAAATTAAAACAAAGATATTTCACTCTTACACCGATGTCTAGTTTCTCCAACAGCTTGCCTTTCTGTGCTACAGATGAATATAAACTTTTCCCCTGTTACTTATCACTGTTACTCAAAGGGATACCTGCAGGTCCTTTTGATATTTTCAGTAACATATTTACACCACACAACACAGAATAAGCAAAAAACAGACAAAAAAAATCAGTGAGTAACACATGTAGGCCTTGGTCCCATGCTGGGAAATCTGCCATTGCCATGCCAGCCTGCACATGTACCATTTTATTGCCCTTTTGCATATGTGTTTGCATGCAGGAAACTGGGCATACATGGAAAAGATACACTGTAGATGAAGGAAGCTGAGGTCTTCTTTTTGCTTTGGGAGATACTAAGTAAATAGTGTGATACCCTTGTGGATTTAAAAAAACAGCTTTATTTTTATTATTTTTTTCATTGTATTTGAAAGGCATTGAGACAGAGAGACAAACAGAGAAAGAGAGAGAGAGAGGGATCTTCCATCCATCAGTTCATTCCCCAAATGCCTACATCAGCCAGGTTTGAGTCAGGCTGAAGCCAGCAGCCTGGAACCCCATCCTAGTCTCCCGCATGGGTGGCAGGGGCCCAAGAACTTCAGACATCTGCTGCTGCTTTCTCAAGAACATTCACAGGGTGCTGGATGAGAAGTGGAATTCCATGACTTGAACCAGCATTCATATGGGATGATAGTGCTAATCTTCTGTGCCACAGTGCTGCCTCCTCCATTTTAATTTTTTAAAAATGTATGTAAGAGGCAGAGAGACAAGGGAGGGAGAGAGACAGAGTTTTTTTTTCCCAACTGTGAGTTCATTCTGCAAAGGCATTCAATGACTGGGACCAGGCTGGTCCAAAGCTGTGAGCCAAGAACTCAACCTGGCTCTCCCACATACAGGAGCCCACCTACATAAATCAAGATTGCTGCCTGCCCCCATCCCCTGGAATCCGCACCAGCAGGAAGCTGGGATCAGGTGCTGGAGCAGGGAATTGTATGCAGGAACATTAATGTTGGGTATGGCAGCCTAATCAACATCTTATACCCTAGGCCAAGTGACCATTTTTGTGCCTGTGTTTTGATTGATATCCATCATAGGAATTCAGGTGTGGAATTTTCCACCTGTGGTATAATCTCAGCACTCAAAAAGTTCTAGATTTTGGTCAACAGCCAACCAGCCTGAATGTGCCTGATTTTATTTGCTCTCAGAAGCCACGCAGGGTTGGGCCTGGCTAGCTAGCATCTGGATGAGAGACTGCCTGGAAATATTAGGTGCTGTAGGCTTTAAAAATTTTTTGAATTTTTGACATTCACCTTTGAGGTAAGAGATGCTCATGCAATATTGTTATTACAAATTCTTTCTATTCAGAAAAAGATGAGCACATTTATTAGAAATTCTACATAGCTAGTAAAAGTAACAAAGGACAACAGAGTACTAAGAGAGCACAGAGGGGTCCTCCTATATTGGGAAGAGGTAGGTACCAGAATACTCCCCGGGTGACACTGTTTAAATGATCGGCTCCCTATAGATTAATGCAAGCCACAGCTCATCCTCTCTAGGGAAGCTGAAATGAAAGAATGACATCCTTTGATCAGTATTAGGATGACTATGCCTATAAGTTATTGTCAGATTCAATTGTTCAGCTTCCAAGTTGCTTTAGTTAAAAACAGCCAAGATTTCACAACAACTAGAAGAGAAAATCATTTCATTTTTAAGTCTATAAATAGCAATGAGTGATACTGTAAGTTCCAAAAGAATTAAAGAACACTTACTTACCTTTGCATATGCTTTTCCACCTTTTAATTCCTGCCAAGGAGAAAAAAAAACACTGTAAGGATATAATATAAAGGTTTACAATTAAAGGCATGTCAAATCATTCAGAAGTAGAATTTATATGTTGGCACATATTATAGACAGTAAGATTCTGATGATCCTAAATCCAACTATTTGGACTCCCATAACATCTCCAAAATTATCAGAACTTCTATTTATTTTATTTTTTAAGAAAGCTTTTGTTTAATGAATACAAATTTAATAGGTATAGCTTTAGGAGCATAGCGGCTCTTCCCACCATACCCACCCTCCCACCCACATTCCCATCCCACCTCTTACTCCCTCTTCCATCCAATTCTTCATTAAGATTTATTTTTACTTATTTTTATATACAGAAGACCAACTCTATACTAAGTAAAGATTTCAACAGTTTGCACCCACAAAGACATACAAAGTATAAAGTACTGTTTGAAGACAAGTTTTACAGTTAATTCTCATAGCACAACTCCTTAAGGACAGAGGTCCTACATGGGGATTGAGTGCACAGTGATTCCTGTTGTTGATTTAACAATTGACACTCTTATGTATGACATCAGTGATCGTCCGAGGCTCTTGTCATGAGCTGCCAAGGCTATGGAAGCCTTTTGAGTCCACAAGTTCTGTCAGTATTTAGACAGGGCCATAAGCAAAGAGTCAAAGGGATCACACAAACAAGACTAGTGTCTGCTAATACTAAATGATAGAATCAAAAAGGGAGAGAATGACCCATCATGGGAAGCGGGATACACAGCAGACTCATAGAATGGCAGATGTCCTAAACAGCACTCTGGCCTCAGAATCAGCCCTTAAGGAATTCAGATCTGGCTGAAGAGCCCATGAGAGTATTTTAGGCATGGAAAGCCAAGACACCCTGGAAAAAAAAAAAAGACCTAAATGGAAGATCTCTGCGAGTGAGATCCCAGTGGAAAGAACAGGGCCATCAAAGAAGGAGGTACCTTTCTCTGAAGGGAGGAGAGAACTTCCACTTTGACTATGACCCTGTCGGAATAAGATCGAAGTCGGCGAACTCAAAAGGCTTCCATAGCCTTGGCAACTCATGACTAGAGCCTAGGGAGATTACTGACGCCATAAACAAGAGTGTCAAATTGTTAAGTCAACAACAGGAGTCACTGTGTACTTACTTCTCATGTGGGATCTGTCCTTAGTGTGTTGTCCAATGTAAAGTAATGCTATAATACTGAAACAGTATTTTACACTTTGTGTTTCTGTGTGGGTGCAAACTGATGAAATCTTTACTTAATATATACTAAATCAATCTTTTGTATATAAAGAGAATTGAAAATGAATCTTGGGCCGGCGCTGCAGCTCACTAGGCTAATCCTCTGCCTTGTGGCACCGGCACCACGGGTTCTAGTTCCGGTCGGGGCGCCGGATTCTGTCCTGGTGCCCCTCTTCCAGGCCAGCTCTCTGCTGTGGCCCGGGAGTGCAGTGGAGGATGGCCCAAGTACTTGGGCCCTGTACCCCATGGGAGACCAGGATAAGTACCTGGCTCCTGCCATCGGATCAGCACGGTGCGCTGGCCGCAGCACACCGGCCACAGCGGCCATTGGAGGGTGAACCAACGGCAAAGGAAGACCTTTCTCTCTGTCTCTCTCTCTCACTGTCCACTCTGCCTGTCCAAAAAAAAAAAAAAATATGAATCTTGATGTGAATGGAATGGGAGAGGGAGCGGGAGATGGGAGGGGTGTGAGTGGGAGGGAAATTATGGGGGGGGGAGCCATTGTAATCCATTAACTGTACTTTGGAAATTTATATTTACTAAATAAAAAAGAAAAAAAAAAGAATGTCTATTGGGGCCAGTGCTGTGGCAAAGCAAGTAAAGCCACTGCCTGCAGTGATGGCATCCCACATGGGCTCCTCTTCAAGTCCTGGCTGTTCCACTTCCAATCTCTGCTATGGCCTGGGAAAGCAGCAGAAGATGGCCCAAGTCCTTGGGTCCCTGAACCCTCGTTGGAGACCCAGAAGAAGATCCTGGCTTTGGATTGGTGCAGCTCCAGCTGTTGCAGCCATCTGAGGAGTGAACCAGCAGACTGAAGACCTCGATCTCTCTCTCTTTCTGCCTCTCTGTAACTCTCCCTTTAAAATGAATAAATCTTTAAAAAAGGTCTATTTATTTATTTTGGTTATTTGAAAGACAGAGAGAGATCTTCCATATACTGATTCATTTTCCAAATGGCTGCAACAGCCAGGGCTGGGTCAGGCTGTCACCGTGAGCCAGGAACTGCCCCCAGGTCTCCCATGTAGGTAGTAGAAGCTCAAGTACTTGTGTCATCATCTGTGCCTTCAGACAAATTAGCAGGAAGCTGGAAGAGAAGTGGAGGCAGGATTTGATTCCAAGTACTCTGATATGAGATGTGGGCACCCCAAGCCATGGTTTCATGTATTGTGTTACAACACCCTGCCCCCTCTACTAACTTGTAAAACACGCTTGGAATTGTCTCTTATCTTTCTTTCATAATCAGATACATAATGCATTACCTATCATTCCCATCTTTAGAACAGTGAAATTAAATGAACTGAGAAGCAATCTATATGAACTCTTACTGTTCACGAATACTCCCTGCTCTTCCCTTTTGCTGCCCCAATGATGCCAGACGTGGCCATACCACTAGATCTACCCTGTTAAGAATGATCAAATCTTTCTTCATTGCTAAGTCACCAACATATTCCTTAATATCCCCCTTCAATAAACAAACAAAACCTCCTTCAGAAAATCCTTGTGTCTAGCTGATTCTTCTTTTTGCTTTCCTCTAAAGCCAAACTGCTCAAAAGATTTATCTGTGTTTGCTGTGCCTCACTTTCTCATTCAGACGGGTTTTGGTCTTGACTTTCCCTCTGTCTTAAATCTTAAGAATACAAATGATCTGATTTGTTAAAGCCACAGGTTGTCTTCATGCTCTTTACCTCTCAGTAGCAGAATGCTAGCTGAACTCTAATTTTCATTTCTTCCTCCATAGAAACAGACTCCTCTACCTTTACTTGAGCATCTGATTGCCCGAATGAATGCCCTTCTGTGTGTTATAATACATGCTAAAACATAAGTGTTTCTCCCTAGACCCACAGCCACCCAGGTGGTTGGCCTCTCCAGTTTGTCCTCCTCAGTAGCAGAAGTGATATTATGGAAGATCACATTTCTCTTTATAAAAATCCTCCAATGGACTCCCAATTAAGAATAAAATATACACTCTTTTACCAAGGCCATAAAAGCCCAGATGGACCTGGGATGTCCACCCTTATCACCAAGAACTTCCTCTGTTAGTGTTTCCCATGCTTCAGCCAGCCTGGTCATCTGTCATTTAAATATCACAATACTTTTGAATCTGTTGTCTTTTATGAGGTTTAGAAGAATTTCAGCCACAAACTCTCTTCTCCTTCTGTGGCCCAATTACATGTACATTAGACTTTTATACTGTTTTCTACATGTCATATATTTTTTTCCTGTACATTCCACCCTTTACCTCCATGATTTAATCTGAGTATTTTCTCCTTATTTTTCAACTTATCAATGTTCTCTTCAGTTGTGGCAAACCTGTTATTAAATCCATTCATTGAGGTTTTTCATATAATAGCTTTAAATTTTAGAAAATGCATTCTTTCAGTTCTAGAATTTAATCGCTTATTTTTTTTTTTTTTTTTTTTTTTTGGACAGACAGGCAGAGTGGACAGTGAGAGAGAGAGAGAGACAGAGAGAAAGGTCTTCCTTTGCTATTGGTTCACCCTCCAAGGGCCGCAGCGGCCAGCGCACTGCGGCCAGCGCACCGCACTGATCCAATGGCAGGAACCAGGTGTTTCTCCTGGTCTCCCATGCGGGTGCAGGGCCCAAGCACTTGGGCCATCCTCCACTGCACTCCCTGGCCACAGCAGAGAGCCGGCCTGGAAGGGGGGCAACCGGGACAGAATCCGGCGCCCTGACCGGGACTAGAACCCGTGGTGCTGGTGCCACAAGGTGGAGGATTAGCCTAGTGAGCCGCGGCGCCGGCCTTTTTTTTTTTTTTTTTTTTTAATTGCTTGTTTCTAGTTCTTTGATGAAATTTTCCTCTTGCTCACTAATCAGTTATTGTAAAATTATCTTTGACGTTTCCAAAATCTGTATCTTTCATGATCTGTTTTTGTCATCTATTTTTTTAATTTGATTTCTGATCATGCAGTCATGTCTCACAGGAATTGTATATGAAAACTGGAAGCAATAACTTGAGGCTCAGAGTGATGTTTCTGTCAGAGAAGATACAGATTTGCATCTGGCAAGTAGTAAGGTAGATGCAGATTAAATCTCATTCAAGAAGTGACTGAGCAGATGGGAAGCTGGAGTTTAGTCTTTGTAAGGGCTGCTGTATACAAAATACTCCTCCTAGGTAAATACTCTTAGAGAGCTCAAACTGAAAGCTTAGGCCATTTACTAGCAATTCCCCCTCTCCTTATTGGGCGCTGGGCTCTATTTTTGTCTCTTTAGTTCTGTGAGATTGTTGTAATTTCAGCTCAGCTTCTTTGCCACTCAACCATTCCTTACAAGCCAACAAATGCTTTGTGGATAAAAGCAATTCCAAATACCAGGCTCATCTCTTTATGCTCACCTTTATGGATTCTAAGTCCCTTAGGTCCTTACTACCTTGGTACCTTTTATTTTTTTGATACTACTTTATTTATTTATTGTTTTTTCCCAAAGAAACTTTTTATTTACGAATACAAACTTCATGCATTTCCTTGGTACCTTCTGATGCATTCAAGAAGCTGTTGATATTTTTTCTAGCTTCTCTGGTTATTCTTAGAGAGAGGGATGGTCTGCAATAAGCTAGTCCTTTAATTTCAGAACAAATCTCCAGGTTTATTCTACTCTTAGGGCTTGGTATGGGTTGAATTGTGTCTCCCCTCCCCTCAAAAGGTAGGCTGAAGTCTTGATTTCCAGTGCTTTTAGAGGTAATCAAGTTAAATGAGATCCTAATGCAACATGACTGCTGTCCTAATAGGAGGAGGAAATTTGGACAGACCGATACACAGAAGTGAAGATGATGTGATGATACAAAGGGAGAAGACAGTTGTGGAAATGGAGTGATGTATTTGCAAGTCAAAGAATGCCTGAGACCACTGGAAACTGGAAAGAGATGAATGTTTCCTCTCCAAGAGCGCCCTCAACCAGAAAGTACAGTCCTTAAGGGTAGGAACTCATTCCAGCTCCCACTGTCATGCCAGTGCCTAGATCAGTATCTGACACAATGCACTGAAGGTACTCCCAGATCTGCTGACAGGTGACTGTTTCCCTGTGTCTTTGGCAACAGTGTATATTATCAAACTTTTTAATCTTTGGCAAATTTACAGGTAAAAAACTGCTATCCTTTGTAGTTTTAATTTATATGTATGAGATTGAGTATATTTCTTATTTGCTTAAAAGCTATTTGCACTTTCTTTTTTATGGAATGTGTATTCTGTGTCTCTTGTCTATTTTTCTTTCTTTCTTTCTTTTTTTTTCTTTTTTCTTTTCTTTTTTTTTTTTTTTTTTGAGAATCTTTATTACTCTGTACAGGGAATTCAACAGTGTACATTTATCTAAGCTTTTTGGCAAGTTCTCTAGTCTTGGTCTTTTCCAGCTTGGCAATGACAACCACAGATCTGGGAGCCAAGACGCTGCATCCCCAGCGACGGTGAATCACACTGTATCTGTCACTGGGATTGGTCCTGATGGCTTCCACCACCTGCCAGAGTCACTCTGTGTTCCGAGTTCACTTGCGTGAAGACGACAGTGGTGCAAATCTTCCTGTGATCAGATTCCCTGGCTGGGCCTTTCCCTTGAAGATGTAGCAAGGAACCCCCACCTTACAACACAGGGTGGACAAGAAGACAACTGACTCGATGAGATCCACGTCACGTGCAATCATCACCAGCTGTGCCTTCTTACTCTCCACCAAGATAGTGACAGGCAGTCTGGGTGGGGATGTCTCCTTTTTCTAGCAGCTTTCTTCTTGGGCTGGACCAGCAGCCTCTGCTTCTTTTGTTTCATCTCTGGCCTGTACCCAAGGGTCAGTTTCAGCAGCTGAGTAGCTGTCTGGCAGTCCAGGGCCTGGATGAACTGGTTAATGTCAGGAGGCACCTTCAGCCACTTACACAGGATGGCCCTCTACCGCTGCAGCTGGTACTTCCACCTGGGGCCACCTGACAAAATGGATGAGGTCCCTCTTGGCTGGATGTCCTGTCCAATGCCAAAGTTCTCAGACCTTTTCTCAAACAGAAGCTTTACCATCTTCTGGACTCCCTGCTTCTTCATGACAGCAGAGGCCGGGACCACCTTCTTCCTCTTGGCCCCGTCCAATGCCTCTGTGCCAGGTGAAGCAGGATTCTCCTAGCACTGGGTAGAGCTGGGGAGCTGCACCACTGTGCCCAGAGAAGGATGGCAGCAAATGGAGCCCAGACCCAAATCCCCTTGCCTGTTTTTCTAAAGGGTTGTTCATCATTTTCTTATTGATTTATTTGAAGATGCTCTTCTTATACTAAAGAAATTAGTTGTTTGATGTCATTATAGTATTTTTTTTAAATGGTTTACTTATTTATTTGAAAGGAGAATTATAAAGAGGCAGAGGCAGAGAGAGAAGAGAGAGAGGTCTTCTATCTACTGGTTCACTCCCCAAATGGCTACAATGGCTAGAGCTGAGCTGATCTGAAGCCAGGAGCCTGGAGGTTCTTCCAGGTCTCCCACGTGGGTACAGGAGCCCAAGGACTTGGGCCATTTTCCACTGCTTCCCCAGGCCATAGCAGACAGCTGGATCAGAAGTGGAGCAGCTGGGACTCAAACCAGTGCCCATATGGAATGCTGGCACTGCAGATGGCAGCTTAACCCACTAAGTCACAGTGCTAGCCCCTATAGTATTTTTTTTTTTTTTTTTTTGGACAGGCAGAGTGGACAGTGAGAGAGAGAGACACAGAGAAAGGTCTTCCTTTGCCGTTGGTTCACCCTCCAATGGCCGCCGCGGCCGGTGCACCGCGCTAATCTGATGGCAGGAGCCAGGTACTTATCCTGGTCTCCCATGGGGTGCAAGGCCCAAGTACTTTGGGCCATCCTCCACTGCACTCCCTGGCCACAGCAGAGAGCTGGCCTGGAAGAGGGGCAACCGGGACAGAATCCGGCGCCCGACCGGGACTAGAACCTGTGGTGCCGGCGCCGCAAGGCGGAAGATTAGCCTAGTGAGCCGTGGCGCCGGCCTATAGTATTTTTTAATACATTTTCTTTATTTTTTTTAAAAGAAAGGTGAAAGGAAAGAAAGAAGGAAGGAAACGCTTATAGTATTTTTTTGTAAAGCATAAAATATACACTTGAGGTTGTTAATTTGTCAAAATGGCTTCTCATTTGTTTATTTGAAATGCAGAGTTTACAGAGAGAGAGAGAGAGACAGAGATATAGAGACAGAGGGAGAGAGATATATAAATAGGCAGAAAGAGAGAGATATCCTTCATCTGCTGGGTCACTCCCCAAATGGCCACAATGGCTGGAACTGGGCCAGCAGAAGCTAGGAGCTTCATCTGTGTGTCCCATATGGGGGTAGAAGCCCAAGGATTTGGGGACTTGGGGCCATCTTCCACTGCTTTCCCAGGCACATTATTAGGGATCTGGGACGCCAACTGTGCCCATATAGGATGCCAACATTGCAGGCGGCAGCTTTATCCACTATGCTGGGTCCGGCTTCTCAATTTTAATATAACTTAGGAAGAATTAGGTAGAAAAAGGTCAATAAATACTGCCATTTAGTCAAACATAGTAGAGACCACTATCGGTTCACCAATATCCATTCTCCCCTTTAATGTTAGGACCTGTTGGTCACCCAGCAAAGATGACATTCAGTATCTCCTTTCCAGTTTGGTGCAGCTACGTGGCTAATTCAAAGATTGACAGACATATCATCTTTCAAAGTCATGATTAGAACCCACTTAAAAATGGTTTCAGCATTTGGTTGGAAGCAGCAGCAACCAAGGTAAGAGAGGGAAGAAGACAGAACACTTTACTTTTATGCCAGCTAATTCCTTCATCTCCAGGAAGAAGCAACTATTATATCTTTACTTGGATGAGGAGACAGATTTAAAAAGTCAGAAAGATTTCCCAGGGTCTTTGGATTAATAAGTAGCACCTCTGAGATTCAAACCCGGTTGGTCAAAGTCCTGACTGCTCTACTTCCAATACAGCTTCCTGCTAATGTGCCTGGGAATGCAGTGGAAGATGACCTGTGTACTTGGGCTCCTGCCATTCATGTGGGAGACCAGATAGAGTTTCATGCTCCTGGCTTCTGCCTGGCCCAACCTTAGTCACTGTGGCCATTTGGGGAGTAAACCAGTGGATGGAAGACCCCTCTCTCCCTCTCTCTCTGTAATTATGCTTTTCAAATTAATAAATAAAAATCTTTAAAAATTTGAAATTTATTTTCTTACTGTGTTTATATTTATTCTAAATCTTTCTCCATTTAATTTTTGATAATATATACACATTTTAGCTTGATAATTTTCAAAGTGTATATAAAATGTGAAACATAGAGTTTACATTTTAAAGCTGGTCGTTTAATTTACTAGTAGTGGTGAGTAATAGATTACTGTTTTTTATCCAAAAAATGCAAGATCACATACTTATGTTGGTCATATGAAACTGTCGCCTTTGTAGATTATTGGTAATATGCCTCAACCTAATATATGAAAAAAAATGTATATACAAAAAAAGACACAGATTTGCAATCTGAAAGATTTGTGTTTGAGTTCCTACTTGACTATTTATTAGCTCTGCAAATATGGGCAAGTAATTTAACCTTTCTGAACTCTGGTTTTTGTGAAAACGGGGAAAATAATACCTAATACCTAATTTTAGGTTGTTGTTATACAGACTCAGAACTATGTCTAACAAAAAATAGGACTTTATACATGGCAGAGTATAGATCTATAGACATAAAGACTAGTACAGATGAGGTTAATACATGTAAGTTCAGTGACAGTGAGATGAAGCTCCTCAGATAATATTTTGATTTTTAATTTCAGCATATTTGCCACAGTAATTTCAATTATTGCTATAAGTGTGAAGATAAATTACATATCACATATTCTAACAATAAAGATAAAACAGAGGTAAATAAAGTGTGGTTTCTGAAAGAGGAGAAGTGGTAGACTTTTTTTTTTTTTTTTACCTTCCTCACAGACACTCTGTAGATACAAGGATCCAGAATGCCCGTGGTGGCACTTGCACTCATTTTGCACATAAATGAGAACTTCTTTCTCCAGTGAACACAGTTTGCTTGTACCACTTCCCTAAAAGGGGGAAAAATGATCCAATTAATTATTATTGATGACATATTATAAACACACATATATATTTCAGTCATCTGTAATACAAAAATGATATTAAAAGCCAGTATTTGGAAATGGGAAGAGGAAGAAAACAAATTATTAACAATCTGATCTGAAAATCTTTGGAAGGTTTTAATCATGCACAAGGAAGATAAAAAGATACCAAAAAGAGTGAATCTATAAATTCAATCAATATAAACTGATGCTGTACTATTTATTTATTTAAAGATCTATTTAAGAGCAAAGTTACAGGTAGAGAGGGAAAGGCAGAGAGAGAGGTCATCAACCTCCCCAAATGGCCACAACAGCCAGAGCTGGAGCCAGGAGCCTCCTCCAGGTCTCCCACGTGGGTGCAGGGGTCCAAGCGCTCGGGCCATCTGCTACTGCTTTCCCAGGCCATGGGCAGAGAGCTAGATGGGAAGTGGAGCAGTTGGGACTCAAACAGGTGCCCATATGGGATGTTGGTGCTGCAGGCGGAGATCCAGCCTATACGCCACAGTGCTGGCCCCAGATGCTCCACTATTTGACAATGTAATTGAGGTCTCACTAGTTAGCACACAATGTACACCTATTTTAAGTGTGTTGGGTATCTGCTAGATGTTTAAAATAGAAGAGGGAAGAACAGAGTACATAACCTTGTATGGCTTATGCTTACAGTTAGTGCAAAGGGACAGAAATATAAACACTTATTCTAAGTATAAACAAATATTTATTCTGAGATGAGCTATATTAATCTTACTCCAGTGACAAACACAACAGGAGCTACCATTTACTAAGAGTTTGAAACATGCTCATTAATCTCAGCACCACTCTAGGAGGAAGCTGGGATCTTACTTCATAGATAAGGAAAACGAAGTCCAAGGACAGAAGTTAGACACAAATGATCATTTAGGTAGAAAGTAGCAGAACAGGCATTCAACACAAGGCTTGTTCAGCTGTAAAGCTTGTCCACAAACAGAAATCTGCATTTTTTCCCCAACAACTTCACTTTTTCAAGTTTCCATGAACATGGTGTTTTCTCTACCATTCTGTATAGGCAGAAGAGGGCTTAGGTTTAGAAAAGAAGAATTACTCCCCTAATAAAGAAAGAAAAGAAAGATGATGCAGATTTAAAGAAAGGAAAAGAGAAAGGAAAGAGCCCAGGCTGCGTGGTTTTCATTTTCTTAGGAAAGGAGTTATGTGCAGTCACTGCCATGGAGTGACTGATGGGACTGAAAATTTAGACAAAGGCTGAGGACAGGAAAAACGGCTGCAGTAAATGTGATAAAGGGTCAACTTGTAGCTGCCTCAGTAAGTAAACTGAATTTGTATTAGGATGAGTTAGCATTTACGGATCTCTTCATCAATATACAGAAAACCAAGAATAGGAATTGCAAACAAGACAAAACAAAACAAAACAAAACCAAGTATGTGTTTGCATGTGGCATGTGCAGGTGTGTTTACTTACATACATATAAACAGATACAGAAATGGAAGAGGAAGGAGTGTATTTTATCACGTTTCACTATGGTAATTTTAGCCATTTAATGTTTTGTCATTAGGAGCCCTTAGCGATTTAATGAATTATAGTATAAAGAGTATATGTTATGTGTTACAGGAAACTTTCCATTGAAATCCAGGAGGGGTGCATTTTATTGGTATGGTCACAGCCTAGGCAGAATGAGAGTTATCTGGCAAAGGATGGATCTGGAGGTACCCATCAGGCAATCTGAGGCATCCCCAGCAAGAAAAGCAGTAGCTAATCTGTACACTCAAAACTAAGTTTCTTAAAAAAAAAGTATTGAATAATAATGAAAACAATAAGTAACAAAAAAGACAGGATTGTTTTTAATGTTGCTTCCCTCCTAATATCTCTTGGCCTTAAGACTTGCTGAAGACATCAGCCACAGCCTCTGGAGCTCCCCCAGAACATATGCAGATGTACTCCAGGTGTGTTCCGAGCTTCAAGGCAGTTGACTGCTCCTGTCACTGAGACCCCTGATGTATGATCAGAAAACCAAAAGCAACACTTAAAAAACCTGTTATTTCATGCTTGTTATAAAATTCTTTGGAAACTTCTAGTTAAATATGGCAGGTTGATTGCATGTATTAGCCTCTGCTCCATCCCCCAAAACTCACTACAAAACGGGATTATCTCAATAGACAGAATCATACAGGAGACAAAAAAATGAGTGGCCAGGGCCAAAAAAGTGGAAACTGGTTTAGCGTACTAAAGAAATCTGAGTTTTACACTGGTAATGCCGAAAGCTAGGGGCAGGGATCTTAAATTGCTTTTCAAATAGAATAATGTGGAGACAAAGGTAGGGGGCTTGACTGGAAACCGTTTTATTAACCTGCCAACTATCAGATCCTCTCCCTGACTCTCACAGAAGACAGATGTGCTCTCCTTACAAGGAAAACAGGGACCTCTGACTGCCTGGTTCGAGAGCAGGTATCAGAAATAACAAATAGCACAAGGGCACAGTGCGGGGAGTGACTGCTGAACGCTGAGACTTCCAGCCTCCTTCCCCGCTCCTGGCTCCTCACACTCCTGGAGTCAGGCATATATATATCAACATGTGGGAAGAATATTCTCCGGGGAACTCAGCCAGCCTCAAAGGAAAGAGATGGATGTTGATAATTTCCAAAAAAATAGCCCTGCCAGCTCACCCTACAGAAAACACCTGAGATGATAAGCTCCTCCTCAACGGCTAGAGCCATAGGTAATTACGAGCAGACACCGCAGCAAGGCCTCTTTGGCAGGGGCCAAAATGAAAAGAAATGTTGACTTCAACAAAACAGAGCCTATGCTGGAAGAGAAAAATCCTCAGAGAGAGAACAACAAAGAGACTGCATGTATCAAAAAGAACAGAATGCTATAAACAAAGAACATACAATGGCACTAAAAAGTGCTCACATGGGCCAGTGCTGTGAGATCTTTCTCTCTGTCTCTCTCACTGTCTAACTCTAGCTGGAGCGATAAATATCGAGAGCCAGTAGCCAGGAGTGCTCACAGAAACCAGAGCTATTAGGCTATTAGGCTCGAAGTTGTTTGTCATTCTAGTCTGACTCCACCCTTCTTCCTGGCCCAGGAAGAAGACCTTTATGGACTTGCATCAGTCAGGATCTCTTTTCTCTACAGGCACAAACACCAGAAGCACGGAGGAAAGCAAAGTTCATCCAGTTGCTCTCTTACTCCTTCCCCGTTAGGTCATGTGATGGGACTGCAGGTTCCCACAATATGCTCTGTAGTGCTCAGACTCCACACAGTGTGCATTTACAGCTTTGTTAAAATAAAAAAACAAATTAACAAACTGAAAAGCGTTATCAAGTACTAAATAATCTGAAAATGGAAACAAAAGTGTTTAACACTGTAAGCCATACTTTCTAATTGCTTAAAAAAACCCATAGGAACTTCTTTATTTTTAAAAAATATTTTTAATTTATTTAAAGGGAACAGACTTCATATATTTCATATATACAGTTTTAAGAATATAATGATATTTCCCAACCTCTTTCCCTCACTTCCACTCTCTTCTCCTTCATTATCTTTTAATTTTTGTGATGACATACTTTCAGTTTACTCTATAATTACAAACTTATTGTAAATGCAGTGAAAATTTTAAATAAATGCAGTACAAAATTTCATATATTCATGAAAATTTTGAAACATAGATAAGAGTTACTGATATGAAAATGAAGTGTATATTCTTATTTTTTTCTGTCTAATATGTGAAAATTAGATGGTACCTTAGAATGTTATCAAGGCAATTAATCTACAAATTATATCCTAAGTATCAAACATATCTATTAATACTCACTGCAAAGCCCTAAAACCTCACTTTATGATCTGTCACTTCCCAGAATAACAGTAAATCCTTGACAATACTAACTATAGAAATACATCTTGGATTTTCATGTAGTTTGAAATACCCTTTTAATATAGCAGCTTTTAAACACCAACGAGTACATGCTATCATTTGCACAATGATATGCAATAGAGGGCAGCTTTTGCCTGAATAACAAAAATTAGAATAAATTAACTGAACTACTAATGCTGAGTGTTTCTCTTACAAAACCAAATGAAGGCAGGTGTGTTATGGGGCAGTGGGTTTAGATGCTGTTAGGACACCTGTATCTTCTACCAGAGTGCCAGTTTGAGTTCCAGCTCTCCAGTTCCAACCCAGCTTTCTGCTAATGTGACAGAGAGGTAGCAAATTATGGCCCAAGTACTTGGGTCTCTGCCACCCATGTGGAAGACCTGGATGGAGTGCCTGGTTCCTGGCTCTGGCTTGGCCTAGCTATGGCTATTGTAGGTATTTGGGGAGTGAACTAGTGGAGAAAGATCTCTCTCTCTCTCTCTCTGCTTCTGCCTTTCAAATAAATAAATAAATATTTTAAAAAATGAGCAGGAAAGAAATATTTGCAGAAATACTTATCTAGTTCAATTATAAAGTACAAGATGCCAACGTTAAGTCTGGTGGGCTAAGAATAGAGATTAAGAATTTTAAGCACAGTATTACAAACATGAGGGAATAACTGAAATTATAGTGTAGAACAGAGATGAGAATAATCTTTTTCCCACATTTTATTTATTTGGTAGAGAGAGAGAGACACACACACACAGAGATCTTTCACCTGTCGGTTCACTTCTCAAATAACCACAATAGCTGGGGCTGGACCAGGCTGAATCCACAAGTCCAAAACTCAATCCTGAGTCACCCACGTGGGTATCAAGGAGCCAAATACTTGAGCCATAACCTGCAGCCTCCCAGGGTAGGTATTAGCAGGAATGCTGGATTGAAATGGAGCAGCTGAGAGTAAAATCAGGCACTATGAAAACAGGATGTGGACATCTCAGGCTGGGACTTTAACCACTGTGCCACACATCCAACTCTAAGAGAACAATTTTTTTTTTAAGGTTTATTTATTTATCTGAAAGGCTAAGTGACAGGGAGAGGGAGACACACACACAGAGAAAA